CAACAAATACTCATCTTTGAAATAGCTAGCAACTCCAGTAAATACTCATCTTTGAGAACCAACCCGGTGTTCACCAAGCAAACTCCAACGTATAATCCAGCACATATAAGCAAGCTTCCCAAGATTCCTAATGGTAAATGACGTTGACATTATCAAAATCAAAACAGAAAAAAAGAAAGAATTATTAACTCCCATCACAGAAAAACAGTCGAGATCAGAAAATAAACCTTGAAAAAGACAAAATAGCATCCAATTGATTTGAATTGAAAACAAAATACCTGAGGCTTCCTTGATTCTTCAGCTGAATTAGCAACGGCATCAAATCCAACATATGCAAAGAATACCGCAGCGGCGCCTCTGAATATATTGCTTTAAACCCATTCGGAATAGTAGAAGCATAAAACAAATAGAAACATATTGATAAAACGGCAACTGTGATTGTCGTTTTGGGCCACCTAAGCCCATTAAGGCTACCTTGGCAGCGCTATTAATAATAAAGATTGATTAGCAACGGCATCAAATCCAACATATGCAAAGAATACCGTAGCGGCGCCTCTGAATATATTGCTTTAAACCAATTCGGAACAGTAGAAGCATAAAACAAATAGAAACATATTGATAAAACGGCAACTGTGATTGTCGTTTTGGGCCACCTAAGCCCATTAAGGCTATCTTGGAAGCGCTATTAATAATAAAGATTGATTAGAAGTCAGATCGTTTTGACATTTTGTTCACAGTTAGGGTAGTTGAACCAATTTGATCAGTTAAAAAATCAAGTTGGATGAATTTAAAAGATATATAATAACTATGAGGCAATGCAATTCATTTCGAAGAAGTTAAAGTGACTTTAGTGGTCAATAACTCTTATGTATTCTAAAAAGAGACTTGTCTCAAATGCATCATATTTATTTAATTTATGGAATTCAATTATAATAAATATATCTAGGTCCTCACATGTCAGCAGCATGGTTCAGATTAGGTTACAGAAGTAATTTTCATCAAGCACAAGAGCAAGTGTTCGAATCTTAGTTACTTAGAAGTTCCTTTAATATTTTTTAAAATAAATTTTTTGAAACTAGTTTTTCAAAGACCTTGGGTATTATGATCGTAAGTGACCTCTTAGAGTTACGTTAGATATGGCCTTCGAAACCCACCGTTGACAAAGTTTGCAAGTTTTGTCCAAAAGGTTGATCCAGCTGGTTGGACGGTTTAAGTGGTTTTATTGATCTTAAGCGTTTTAAATCCTGTTTAGGATACTCATCTGACCCGTTTTGACATTTTGACATTTTGAAACTAAATTAGAAGTCAGACCATTTTGACATTTTGTTCACAGTTAAGGTAGTTGAACCAATTTGATCAGTTAAAAAATCATGTTGGATGAATTTAAAAGATATATAATAACTATGAGGCAATGCAATTCATTTCAATGAAGTTAAAGTGACTTTAGTGGTCAATAACTCTTATGAATTCTAAAAAGAGACTTGTCTCAAATGCATCATGTTTATTTAATTTATGGAATTCAATTATAATAAATATATCTAGGTCCTCACATGTCAATAGCATGATTCAAATTAGGTGATATAAGTAATCTTCATCAAGCACAAGAGCAAGTGTTTGAATATAAGTAGTTACTTAGAAGTCCTTGTAATATTTTTTAAAATAAATTTTTTGCAACTAGTTTTTCAAAGACCTTGGGTGTTATGATCGTAAGTGACCTCTTAAAGTTACGTTAGATATGGCCTTCGAAACCCACCGTTGACAAAGTTTGCAAGTTTTGTCCAAAAGGTTGATCTAGTCGGTTGGACGGTTTAAGTGGTTTTATTGATCTTAAGCGGTTTAAATCCTGTTTAGGATACTCATCTGACCCGTTCAGCCGTTTCCATCAGCAAAAACCAACATTTAACCCTTTACCTTACAAAGTTAGTAGGTTTTAGACATTCACCTTATAATATGACACTTTTAACCCTTTACCTTACAAATTTGGTAGGTTTTAACCTCTTACCTTACAAAATTGGTAGGTTTTAATCCCTCACCTTATATTAAGACATTTTTAACCCCTCACCTATACAAATTGAAGAAAATAACTCTCACTTAATATTAGATATAACATTCTGTTGGTTCTGTTACTTGATTGTTAACATCCGTTAGCATTTCGTTATAAAAAAACATGAAATTTAAATTCAATTTTATTTATTAGTTCCATTAACGAAATGCTAACGGATATTAACAGTCAGCTAACAGAACTAACAGTCAACCAACAGAACTAACAGTCAGTCAACAGAACTAACAGTCAGCCAACAGAACTGACAGTCAATTAACAGAACTAACAAAATACTATAACTTGATGTTAAGTGAGAGCTATTTTCTTCAATTCGTATAGATAAGGGGTTAAAAGTGTCATAACATAAGGTGAGGGGCTAAAACCTACTAATTTTGGTAAAGTGAGGGGTTAAAACCTATAAGATAAAGAGTTAAAAATGTCATATTATAAAGTTATGGGTTAAAACCTACCAATTTTGTAAGGTAAAGACCTAAAAGTTGGTTTTAACCATTTCCATCACTGGGTGTTGGTTAAACAATTTTAAATACTCACCTAAGCCGTTTCTATCATTAGGTGTTGGTTACTTGGTTCCGTTGGTTCAACTAACCAGTCCAGTTTGATTTTCAAAACTTTGATTTGATTAAAGGGGAATTTGTCCAAGAAACTGCAAGAAAACAAGATAAAAGACGTATTTGACTGATGTAGAGGTACAATTTTGTTTATGGTTCCTATGAAGAAAATTCGTTTCCAAGATGAGGACACTGATTAAAAAATTATTCAGTTTGTGGGTCTTCCTATTCTGCTTTATTTTATTTTTCATTTTTGATTTGGACTGTTATAATATGTTAAATTCCTCTCAAAAACTAGTTTAAGATAGTACTTCTTAAACCAACATGATGCATCAAATAAAAAAAAATCAATATGATACATTAAAAAAATTAATTTTTTTAAATATAATTTTAAAACTTAAATTTTAAACATAACAGAAAAAAAAAAAACATATGCTTATAAATGAGAGGGCCTTGACTTCTAACCGGAGCTGAGAAGTGGATAT